GAACAGCACTGTGTGCTGCCATGTGCAGAATTTTCATAGGTGTTTGAGAAGCGTTAAAACCGCTTCCCAAAGGCCTGTCTGATGCCTGCTGACAAAGCTAGTGTGAACATAGCCTTATGCAGGCCATAGATGGGTCGAAAATCGGCCGATTTTTCGGCCGAAAATAAAATCGGCCGATTTTCGGATCGTTAGTGGGCGATTTGGTCGGCCGTTTTTCGGTATTTTGGCCGTTTTTTTTTCTCGGTAAAGTTGGAAAAAATCGGCCGACTTTGCCGATCGGCCGATTTTCCGCGGCAATTAGTGGGCAAATCGGCCGATTTTTTTACCGATAAAAAATCTGCGCATGAGCAGTGACCTGCAAGAGGAAGACAAAAAGAAGAAAAAGAAGAAGAGGAAGATGATGAAGAAGAGGATGAAGAAGAAGAAGAGGAAGAAGAAGAGGATGAAGAAGAAGAGGATGAGGATGAAGAAGAAGAGGATGAGGATGAAGAAGAAGAAGAGGATGAGGATGAAGAAAGAAGAGGATGAGGATGATGATGAAGAAGAGGATGAGGATGATGAAGAAGAAGAGGATGAGGATGAGGAAGAAGAGGATGAGGAATAAGAGGATGAGGATGAAGAAGAAGAAGATGAAGAAGAGGATGAGGATGATGATGAAGAAGAATAGGATGAGGATGCAGAAGAAGAAGAGGATGAGGGTGCAGAAGAAGAAGAGGATGAGGATGATGAAGAAGAAGAAGAGGATGAGGATGAAGAAGAAGAAGAGGATGAGGATGAAGAAGAGGATGAGGATGAAGAAGCAGAAGAAGAAGAAGAAGAAGAAGAAGAGGATGAGGATGAAGAAGAAGAAGAGGATGAGGATGAAGAAGAAGAAGAAGAAGAAGAGGATGAGGATGAAGAAGAAGAAGAAGAAGGATGAAAATAAGAAGAATTCCAGTCCAGCAAAAAGTGTCTCTGCAGAGAGCTCCGCTATTTCTGACAGTTCTCTGACAGTTCCTTGACATTTACAGCGGTTGAAACATTGTATCTATTTGTTTCCGAATAAAAACATCTGTATCCTAAATGGAAACAAATAGATACATTGTTGCAACTTCTATAAATGTCAAGGAACTGTCAAAGAACTGTCAAAGAAATAGCAGAGCTCTCTGCAGGGACACTTTTTGCCGGCTCTAGAGGGTAGAAAATCGGCCGATTTTTTTTTTACCATTGATGGTAACGTCGGCCACTTGAACAACCGTTCGTCGTTTTTTAAAAGAAAAATCTGCAGTTTTTCTCCCCATCTATGGCCTGCATTAGAGAAGATAAAAAAAAGTTGTAATGAAATATAAACAGAAGGAAAATTGAAAGTTTCAAACTTGTCAGAAGAATAGGACGCAGGTAAGATTCATTCCCTTTCCACTTTCTAGTCAGTAGCCAAAATCTTAATAGATTGATCAATATTCCTGGCACTGACAGAACCCTGAAAATTGATCTCCATATTTTGGGCATTCACAAATGTCAAGGAGTGTACAATTTAAGACCAGAAACTCAGACATATACTAGGCCCAATTAACCTAACAGCATGTCTTTGGAGTGTTGGCAGAAACACACCCGTGCGGAGAAAGCATACAAACTGGGATGCAGACAGGTGCAGCCATGCCTGGGATTAGAACTCATGACCCAAGTGCTATAAGTTCTGAGTTCTAACCACTAAGCCACTGTAGGAGACAGAGTTTGAGCTGGAATGTAGAATAGTTACATTGTTTAAAAATGATAAAGCTAGCGCTGGTAAAATTATATAGACTACTAAAATGGTATTACACAAGATAAATATAGGTATAGATATGAAGATAGCAGCTAGGGTATTGGCAACAGTCCCAGAATAGAAATAGAAAAGCGCTATAAATGCATGTTATCAATCATAATCGCATGTAAAATCAAAAAAGTGCAAATAAGTGCAATAATGATGTAAACTGGAAAATGGTGCTAAAAAAAGTTCATATCATTCCTGAATAATGGAATGTCCTTTGTGTGAGAGTACCAACTCAGAGAGTGCCTATGAATGGCACGTGTGGTTGATCCGTGACGAACAGTAGTGCATGAACTCTTGAAAGGTAATCTACCCTTGGGACGGGTGTACACTCACCAGAACAAAAGTATTAATACGCATAGGTTATACACATCAAACATCTGGGGGGTGCAGCGGTATGCTGGCAGCTATGGGATAGTCATCCAGCTCCATCCATCCATCAGGGTGGGTGCCAAAATGGTCCTGGGGAGGAATTAGCTCAGCCACAGGAGCCAGAAAGGTGCTTAATAGTGTAGTACTTTATTATAATGGTCACAAGTAACAATTTAAAATATCCACGTGGAGTAATAAAAATAATAGCAAAGTGAGTACCAAGATGGTCACCGCTCTTCAATGCTGAGCTAATTCCTCCCCAGGACCATTTTGGCACCCACCCTGATAGATGGATGGAGCTAGATGACTAACCCATAGCTGCCAACATACCGCTGCACCCCCAGATGTGTGATGTATATAACCCATGCACATTAATACTTTTGTTCTGGTGAGTTTATTATTCAGGAATGATTATATGAACTTTTTTTAGCACCATTTACCAGTTTACATCATTATTGCACTTATTTGCACTTTTTTGATTTTACATGCGTTTATGATTGATAACATGCATTTTATAGCGCTGCAGTATTACTTTAACATAGAATAGTTGCATGATTAAAGAGAATGAAGATATATAATTATATTGGGATATTAGAACTAGGCATTCCCAATTATTTGAGATATACAGTTGTGGCCAAAATTATTCAACCCCCAATGCTGTAAAGGGGTTTAGGGACTATAGTGTACATTTGGAATTGTATTCAGAATCAAATCCTACAAGGACGTTGTAACTACCCAAATGCAACTAAAATGACATCAATTGTTTATGTAATACAGTAGTAAATGGTTCTTATGTGGTTTCTTCATTGCCACAATTATTCAACCCCTTAAAGACTACCACTCTGAAGAACAGAGGTTCATACAGGTGCTTTCCATCAGGTATTGAAAACACCTGTGGATGTCACCGAGCAGCAATCAAGCATAATAAGCACCAATTAGGCAGCTTTAAAATGACTGTGATACTCAGCTCCTTCTAGACATTTACTGGTGTGGTTACAAACATGGTGAAGGCAAGAGAATGGTCCAGGAAGACAAGAGAAGAGGTGATTTCTCTTCACAGGAAGGGCAATGGCTATAAGAAGATTGCAAAGATGTTAAACATACCAAGAGACACCTTAGGAAGCATCATTCGCAAATTCAAGGCAAAGGGCACTGTTGAAACGCTACCTGGTCGTGGCAGAAAGAAGATGCTGACTTCGACTGCTGTGCGCTACCTGAAGCGTAGAGTGGAGAGAAGTCCCCGTGTGACTGCTGAGGAACTGAGAAAAGATTTGTCAGATGTGGGTACAGAAGTTTCAGCCCAGACAATAAGACGCACACTGCGTAATGAAGGCCTCCGTGCCAGAACTCCCAGGCGTACCCCCTTGCTGTCTCCAAAGAATAAGAAGAGTCGACTGCAGTATGCCAAAAGCCATGTGGACAAACCACAAAAGTTGTGGGATAGTGTTCTGTGGACTGATGAAACAAAATTAGAACTGTTTGGGCCCATGGATCAACGCTATGTTTGGAGGAGGAAGAACAAGGCCTATGATGAAAAAAACACCTTGCCTACTGTGAAGCATGGTGGAGGGTCAATCATGCTTTGGGGCTGTTTTGCTTCTGCAGGTACAGGGAAGCTTCAGCGTGTGCAAGGTACCATGAATTCTCTTCAGTACCAGGAGATATTGGATGGAAACGTGATGCAGTCCGTCACACACCTGAGGCTTGGGAGACGTTGGACCTTTCAACAGGACAATGATCCCAAGCATACCTCCAAGTCCACTAGAGCATGGTTGCAGAGGAAAGGCTGGAACATTTTGGAGTGGCCATCGCAGTCACCAGACTTAAATCCGATTGAGAACCTCTGGTGGGACTTAAAGAAAGCAGTTGCAGTGCGCAAGCCTAAGAATGTGACTGAACTGGAGGCCTTTGCCCATGAAGAATGGGCGAAGATACCCGTAGATCGCTGCAAGACACTTGTGTCAAGCTATGCTTCACGTTTAAAAGCTGTTATAACTGTAAAAGGATGCTGTACTAAGTACTAAGATTGAATGTCACTTGGGGGTTGAATAAAACTGATAATGCTGTGAGCACAGAAAAGACATTTGTGGTTATTTCATTATAACTGTTATGTTATATTTGTCTGACCTACAAGTGCCTCTTTAATGTAAATGTAAGCAAGATGACTGAATGATCAAAAGCAATGTCAAACTGGCCAAAACACTCAATTTCAGTGGGGGTTGAATAATTTTGGCCACAACTGTAAGTGTGAAAATGTTTGACATTTGAAAATAGAATGTATGAAATTCATTAGGAAATGCATTAGTTGTCCGATCATTTTTGGAGAAACAACAACCAAGAAAAAAAAAAAAAACGGGACAAAGCCTGCGGTTGTGCGCCACCTAGCGAACATCTAGAAATGTGCCTGACGTGATTCCGGATTTACTAACAGAAAATAGTCTCCTTTCAATGAGCTTGCTAGACGCCTTTCTGATGACTGACAGGTCTAGATTGATTGAATTGAGTCTGCCTGAATGTTCAGCGTCTGCTGGTAGACTCAATTCTTAGTATATCAGGGCCTTATAGACCCTCAATGCCTCCATAAAAAGGACCTTTCATCCCTTATTCCTAGCACAAAGGAGGGTTATATTTCATGTGATAAGAATAAAAGTGATAAAAAAAATTAAGATTGGGTAGGTTTACAGGAGCTAGAGAAGTACTGTACATGTATGTACTTTAACACCATAGTTACTACAACAGTATTTTAATTTTTATCCTTGCAAACTTGATGCAGTTCATGGCTTATAAATGAGAACACGAGATAACACTTGCTTTTTTATCTATTTATTTATTTATTTAGATTCTAAATGAAGTTCCTTGGCTAATGAATATTCCAGGGTTAGCTAATCGTGTTTTACAAGCACAATATAGTTTGAATGCTTTCCTCAGGGATATCATTACAGAACACAAGAAAAGTTTTAAACCTGATAATATCCGTGATTATATTGATGCCTATCTACTGGAAATTGAAAAGGTAAGGAATCTATAAATGTTTAATAATGCAGAAATGTAATTTGTAGTACATTTATATGTGCACACTGTATTTTTTAATGCTGTAAATAACATCAGAGTATTGTGCAGGTAGAACCTGTGCTTGAATTGATAACAGAAAATTGCCTAAACCCACTTTATTTCTTTCCATCCTTCCTGAAAGTTAATCCAGATTATGGATGTTACAAATGTAGCCTCTAACCACATGCCTATATAGAAAATAGAACATTTATTCCCATTAAAACACAAGAAAGATTGTTTAAAAAGTGCTGATCTTTGTTTTTGTCCTTGCATGTGGAGTTCGCAGATGGGGATAACAGGGCAGGCACACAAGGGGCCTGCAAACATCACAAATTATTTTCACATCATCTTGGATACCCTTCTCTCCAAAGTTACGTCTTTATAACCTCCCATAAATAATCGAGAATAATAGGGGAGATGTTAGGCAACCATGATATTGATTAATCTCCTACTTAGTTTTATGCAGGCTATAGACGAGTCAAAAAACGTCCGTTTTTTTGTAAAAAAAAAAAAAAAAAAAATCGGTCATTCAATAGGCCGAAGTTACCACCAACTGTAAAAAAAAAAATTGGCCGATTTTCGTCTGGTCTACGGCCGGCATTTAATTACTTCTGTCCCTTTAGAGAGCTCCGCTATTACATTTGACATTAAAAAGTATAGCGGTTGCAACATTGTATCTATTTGTATCCATTTTGGATACAGATGTTTTTATTCGAATACAAATAGATACATTGTTGCAACCGCAATACTTTTTCATGTCAAATATAATAGCAGACTGGAATTGGAATTCTTCTTCTTCCTCTTTTTCTTTTTCTTCTTATTCTTTTTCTTGCAGGTCACGGCTCATGCGCAGATTTTTTATCGGTAAAAAGATCAGCCGATTTGCCCATCAATGCTGCGAAAATCGGCTGATCGGCAAAATCGGCTTTTTTTTTCCAACTTTACCGATTAAAAAAATGTGCCAAAATCCAGAAAAACGGCCGACCAATTAACCTATTAACAGTGCGAAAATCAGCCAATTTTTTTTTCGGCCAAAAAATCGGCCGATTTTCGACCCATCTATGGCCTGCCTTAGTTTAGAACTAGGTATGTAAAAATAACATTCAAGGCTCTGTTAGTGACTTACTTAGCATGCAGTTTTGCAGCTCTGTTATTCTATATTTCTGCAGGATATTGCAGAGAATAGGCCATACAGCCATATTATGATTTTTCACCATAAAATACAAGTACACTTGTCCAATTGTTTTCATAAGTAGGTGTGATCATTATGCAAAGTCTTTTCTATAGTAACCTAGTTAATTTTCCTAAGAAAATTAAAAAAAAAAAACAAACATCCAGGTGGCTCCTTTATTAGATAGAAAAAAAAACGGTCCCTATATCTAGGTCTTCCTGGCAATTCCATGGCAAGCAAGCTACACAGCTTATTCTGAGTACCAGTTTCTTTAGCAATCCATAAACTAATAAAATCTAATAATAAATCTGTTTTATGATCTTACAATGTGTAATATCATATATAATTGTTAATGGAACATACAATGTAGCATAAGTTATGTGATTTTAAAGGAAACCTGTTGTGCAAGAAATATAGACACCATTGCTCTTCTTTTGAAAAAATGCTGATTGTCTGGTTGTCATGCTGACCCTCTTGATTCAATAGTTTGGGTCACTGACACACACCAGGTATCCAGCCTAAACTTGTGGCTTTTCTGATCTGCACACAGGTGTCAGCGAAACATAAATTATTAAAACCAGTCAACGTAACAGCCTGATAACTAGAATTTTCAGTAACAACCACCATGTGTTCCTTATGACAGGTTTAATTTAACAAATATACTTCCATGACACTTCTTTCAAACACACTATCCTTTTTATAGGCAAAAGGTGAAGAGAACACTAGTTTCAATGAGACTAATCTTTTCTTAACAACATGTGATCTATTTGGAGCTGGCACAGAAACCACAAGTACAACACTGAGATGGGCTCTCATTTACATGCTACTCTATCAGGACATCCAGTGTAAGTGACTGTACTTTAGTAATATTCACAACCTGGGGTAAGCAAATACATGGAATCATATGCTATACCATTTCACTTTGTAAAGCGCTGTGCAGACTGTTGGCGCTATATAAATCCTGTATAATAATTTATTGCCTAATGGAATTTGAATTTTATGAAGCATATCTTCTTGAGTGTGTATAAAAACTGGAGCTTTTCCGTTGAGTTTAAGCAGCTGTCAGACATACAGTTGTGTTCAAAATAATAGCAGTCAGACATCACTAACCTGATCAATCACTGTTTTTGGTAGAAATGATATTTCTACATGGCAAATAATTTACTAGCAGGTGTAGTAGAGTAATAGAAATCCAACAGACATGCTGCTAATTCTGTGTAATTGAATCACTAATTGAAAGGGGCATGTTCAAAATAATAGCAGTGTGGAGTTCTATTAGTGAGGTCATTCATTCTTTGAAAAACAGGTTGCAATTATTGCCCTTATTTAGGGAGGGAAGACAGCAAATGTTGTACGCTGGTTACAGTGCATTTCTCTCTGAAATTCTGAGGAACAGCGTACCTTGATTAAAAAGTTGATTGGAGAGGGGAAAACATATAAAGAAGTGCAGAAAATGATAGGCTGCTCAGCTAAAATGATCGCAAATGCTTTAAAATGGCAACCAAAACCTGAAAGACGTGGAAGAAAGCGAAAAACTACCATTCGAATGGATAGAAGAATAGCCAAAATGGCAAGGACTCAGCCAACAATCAGCTCCAGGAAGATCAAAGAAGGTCTAAAGTTACCTGTGATTACTGTTACAATTAGAAGACGCCTATGTGAAGCCAAGCTATCTGCAAGAAGCTCCCACAAAGTCCCACTGTTGAAAAAAAACACATGTGCTGAAGAGGTTACAATTTGCCAAAGAGCACATTGACTGGCCTAAAGAGAAATGGCGCAACATTTTGTGGACTGATGAAAGTAAGATTGTTCTTTTTGGGTCTAGTGGCCGGAGACAGTTTGTCAGACGATCCCCAAACACTGAATTCAAGCCACAGTACACTGTGAAGACAGTGAAGCATGGTTGCGCAAGCATCATGATATGGGGATGTTTCTCATACTACGGTGTTGGGCCTATTTATCGCATACCAGGGATCATGGATCAGTTTGAATACATCAGATTACTTGAAGAGGTCATGCTGTCTTATGCTGAAAAGGAAATGCCCTTGAAATGGGTGTTCCAACAAGACAACGACCCCAAACACACCATTAAACGTGCAACATCTTGGTTCCAGACCAAGAAGATTGACGTTGTGGAGTGGCCAGCCCAATCCCCGGATCTTAATCCAATAGAAAACTTGTGGGGTGACATCAAAAATGCAGTTTCTGAGGAAAAACCAATAGAGAAGAACTGTGGAATGTAGTCCAATCATCCTGGGGTGGAATACCTGTTCACAGGTGCCAGAAGTTGGTTGACTCCATGCAACACAGATGTACAACAGTTCTCAGAAACAGTGCTTATACAACTAAATATTAATTAAGTGATTCAAAGGAAAGCAAAATCTTCAAACATTTTTCAGTTTATATAGTGAATGTTTGAGTTTGTCAAGAAGAATACAAATACTGCTATTTTTTTTGAACAGTCTAATATTCACTTTTCTGCAATCTTTTTAGAGTAACAACACAAATTTGATATATTTTTCTTCATGTTTTAATTTGGAATAGAATGTGTAGTGTTACCAATGCGTTTTGTGTGTATGGAAATAAAAGCAAATAAAAGCTATGAGAAGGATTTTGAACTTTATTCACTTTTTTCTACACACGGCTATTATTTTGAACAAACTGTACTTAAACAACCCAATTTCCTTCATGACAGCAAATCTCAAATCTGAGATGTATAAGGCCCTCCATCAATTGGCAAGGTCATCTCTAATGATCTACCATGTTGATATTATAAATAGAGGGTTGGAAACAGGATGAGAGTTGTACCAGGAGATGCTTCCAGTGTCATTTATTTTGTCTGTTCAATGTCTCCAGTGAAAGTTGCCGATAGGCAGGTGTTAGTTTGCCACCATAGACATAAAGTCATTACTTGATATGGTTGATAGTCTTCTCATATGTACTGTATGTGCTACTTCTTCCATTACAGCTTGTACCACCAAAATCTTATTCCAGAGAGGGGAGCTGCTATTGCCTACAACACTGGGCACACATTAATGAATTGTACAGACTCAGTGGGGTTTATTTACTAAAGCTGGAGAGTCCAAAATCAGACTCCCTTCTGCATAGAAACCAATCAGCTTCCAGGTTTCATTGCCAAAGCTTCATTGAACAAGCTGAGGTTAGAAGCTGATTGGTTTCTATGCAGAAGGGAGTCTGATTTTGGACTCTCCAGCTTTAGTAAATAAACCCCAGTTTGTCAGACAAGCAGTATAGTTGATATAATTTGATCTGGTTGTTTAAGAAGGTATCACACAACATATACTGTAGTTTGTGCATTTTTTCTGGCAGAACACAGCTGAAACGTGACAATGAGTAAGGTACCATTTGCACTGGTTATAAGGCACCTGGCTTCCACAAGATTCTTGGTGGTACAAAATACCAAGTGGTATTCCAAATACAGAGCATGGCTTTTAGTCTTTCTTGCAGATTGCAAATTGCAGCAGTTGTAGTATAGAGCAAGACTAAAATTCCCTTGGCAAAGTAAAGTTGGTAAGGGTAATAAACACTTTTGAGTCCAGAAGGTTGCCTGCGAGTCCAAATCGTGAAGTGAGAGTGGAACCTTAAAGCCCAACTCTGGAAAATTTGAGCATCTTATTCTTTTAGTGGACTGTATTGCAGTGCAGGGGTTAACTGTTTGTTTAGGTCAAGGGGTATAGAAAAGAAAATGTACTTACCAAATCCTCCTCTTCTGCACTGCTAGACCAGTCCCCACAGCATCTTCTCACCAGAGCTGTGCATTGATGAAGTGATGACGCCGAGGGACAGTCCACTGCTGGACCATAGATGAGTACCATCTGGCAGGAGAGCAGAGGATCAGGTAAGTAAAAGTGCTGTTACTCTCCCCTAGTATAAACAATCAGTTAATCTGTGTAGTGTGGTGCAGCCCTACGCAAAAGGGAGAATTTTTAGATTTCCGCAAGCTGAGCTTTAAACAAGTGCTTTCCAAAATTATTTAGTAAATAATAATAAATAATAATCAAACAACAGCATGAAAAATAAATTATCCATGCAAGGCATTAATTTCTTTTTCAGAGAACAAACTGTCCATAATATTTTCCAAAACTTCCTGTGTCCTCTGTGTGAAAACTTTTACCAGCACAATACATCCCAAAGGGGATGAACTCATTGAGCCTTGTTTACCACCTAAAAAAAAAAATAGATAGGTTTATGAGAGCTTTATGTTGCCCCCAGGGGCGGAATGACAACTCATGGGGCCCCGAGGCAATAGGGGATCATGGGGATCCCAGGCAATAGGGGATCATGGGGCCCCTGTGTCCTCACCCACACTCAAACCACACTCAAGAAAGGCTAAGAAAAGGTACCAGGGGCATCTCATGGGGCCCCCTACTGACCCTGGGCCCTCGGGCAGTGCCCCAGTTCCCAAATGGTCAGTCTGCCCCTGGTTGCCCCAACAAAGCATGGGATGTTATAGAATCCCAATCCTCCCCAACTTTCCCTTTACTGGCTCTATTTATATCCACAAATACCAATAAATAGGAAAAACATTTTTCTTTTAAACTCCTTAAAATAATGTAAAACTCACATTTGTCAAGTCCTAACTCAGCACTAATGTAGATTGTTTCATCCTGTAAAAGGGTCACTAGCACCGCACATCTATCTCTCTACTGGCATCTTCCCCACCCCTCTAAAACTTGCACTGATTACATTGGTGCTTAAAAAGCCATTGGATTCCACTAATCTGAACAATATAAGGCCCATCTGCTTGCTCCCACTTACCACCAAACTCCCAGAATGCCTAGTCTACAGTCATCTAAGCTGCTATGTCCCTGAGAGCAACTTTATTGACCTCTTACAATCTGGCCTTTGCCCACAGGTCTGCACAGAAACTTCCCTTCTAAAACACACTAACAACTTACTAACCAATGGCCACTAATCAGTACTCTTCATATTAGACCTTTTCTGGTGTCTTCCACACAGTTGACTACCCCCTCCTCCTCAAAAAACTTTACTCCTTGATCTCCAATTCTGTTTTTATCTGGTTCTCCTATCTAAACACCTTTTCAACATCACCATCACCTACAACTCTACCTGCTCCTCTCCTCCTCCTTTTTCCTTAAGGTTTCCACAAGGCTCTGTCCTCAGACCCCTTCCAAATTTTCTACCTACACATTTTCCTATGGTCAGTTGATTACTTCATATGGATTTCAATGCCATTTCTATGCTGACAATGCCCAAATCAATCTCTGTACAGCACACCCCTTCAGTTGGCTTGTGAATCACTGATCTACTAACTGGATGTCAAGCCACTCCCTAAAAGTTAATCTTTACAAAACTGCCCCCAGCTACATCACCATCCTAATCTCAAAATATCTACTAAACATTTCACTTTGCTCCTTCCAAGGCCACCTGCTCTATAGCTCTCTTGTCATCTACTTCCATGCTTGCCTTGAGGACTTCTCCAGAGCCTCTCCACTCCTCTTGAACCCTCTACCTCAACCTGTACGGCTATATACTACTCTGCCTCTAGTTAGCAACTGAATTTTACTTTCCCAATCAACTCATCCCCACACAGCTACTTCCATTTGTATCACTTCCCTCTAGATTATAAGCAGGGCTCTATAACCTTCCTGTCTTAAATTGTATAGTAAGTGCATTTTATTTGCACTTTATTTTGTTAAGTGCCAAGCAAACAGTTGGCACTTTATAAATCTTGTATAATCATAATAATAATTATTATTATTATTATGCTGCTGGTCAGTGATAACATGCCCACCTGTTGCTGGTCAGTGAAGAAGTGTTTCTACATTGGTTTGATTTACCACCAGGCTGTGTATTCCTCTGCCCAGTGCTATCTTCATATAACAGAGCAAATCACTCTGACACATTATATTACCTTTGTTCTCCTTTCTGAGAAAATCCTGTCACAGGAGTTTGCAACAACCACTAGCTAGTAAGCTAGTAAGTAAAAATCATATCACAAATAGTATAGGTGCAACATCCTCAGAACACACAGGAACCTTTCGCAGGCATGTGACCACAGATATACTTTCTTCTTTGTTCTGTATTGGTCTTTCTAAACCCAGGATGCTAAGCATGAGAACAATGGCATATGCCCCTGCACTGTCGCAACTTTGTATTTGCACCTTATCTAAAGAATGGTTTGTAACATGTTTGTCCTAAACAATAAAATATTGTTTTGTTTTTTATACTTTATTTTATTTTTGTTAAGCCACTCAAATGTATTATACATTAATATTTAGTGATATATGATCTGATTTAGCCAAAGTCCATGAAGAAATTGACCGAGTGATTGGAAGAGAGAGAAAACCAACAATGGAAGATCTCCTTGAAATGCCATATACTAATGCTGTGATTCATGAAATACAGCGCTGTGGGGATATAAGTCCCTTAGCTTTGCCCCATATGACCTACAGAGACATGGAAATTCAAGGATATTTTTTACCAAAGGTAAAGCTGTATTTATAGGTACCTAAACATATTACTCATCTGCTCTATATTTAGGAAAACGTGTTGTTGAAACCCTTAGCAGGTTTTTATTGCAGGCCTTTCATTTTGAAAATGCTAGTTGGCTGATTGTCATGCTAGCCCTCTTGCTTCAATATTTTGAGTCACTGACCCAGATCAAATTTGCAGGTAAGGACTTCTGACTTTGTTCTGACCATTGAAGCTAGAAAGTCATAAAACAACATTGCATTTGGGTATATAATTTTATAACTGCTTGACCTAAATATAATTTCAGGGAAACTAATCTAAACACAATCTATTTTTTTATAATATAATTAATACTTTTTATGACAGGATACAAACATAGAAATGCAAAGAGCAAAAAAAACAATGCATACTGTATATAGTAACAATAATGCATAGGACAAAAGAAGTTTAGTGAGTAGCTCACATATAAGAACCATTAAAGCGTATCATACAAGCCATCAAGTAAACACAAGACAATCTAATGTTACATTTAATTTGGGGTAAATTAGATAATAAACTTTAATCTGGATCACTTTCTCTCATTATAATATCACATTTCTTCTCACAAAGAAGGAAGATTTGTTTGCATCAGAGACACGGGAAAGGACCTTAATAGTGAGGTCAGATATAGTCTTTTAACATTAATATAGATACAGCTCATTTAAATTCCACTGTCACTGCAGTTCATTTTGTCTTAGTTATACGAAAGCTAGGAATGAAGTTTAGGTTTTTCTCCTACTATGGATTTGGGGTAAATCCTTCAGGTCTGAGATTTGCCTTCCCAGAGGCTTCATGTGCCAATTTCCTCCTCTTGTAAATGGTGAAGGTCCACCCATTATAGATGTAGCTGTTGGTGGTTCTCTACAGAAAAAAAACACTGGGCCCTCAGTTCTCTCTGTCTGGCTGTATGCAGGCCATTCAAACTACACATGCACAAGACCACGCACTGTGCATGCCTGCAGTTTGAACAGACCTGAACAACCACTACTAAGCTCAACAGGAGCCAGGAGAGAATGTACAGTGCACAGTTTGAACGGGCTGAAGTGGCCAATAGGGGGCACATCATTGTGATAGTCAGCCGTCCTGAAAACAGCAGGACAGAAGAAAATGAGGAGCCAGAATTTTTTCTAGAGAGGCCCTCCAACACCTGTAACACCTCATACAGCTTTAAGACCCTAACATGCTATACAGAGGGATTTTAAGTTAAAAAAAAAAAAAAAAATAACAAACATGCTATACTTACCTGCTCTGTGCAATTCTATTGCTTCCCTGATTATCTTCTTCTTAGGTCCTCCCAGGCACTTCTTGCTCCTCCTCTTTTCCGTGTGCCGCCATAGGGAGCCACCTCATATTGTGGAACATGGCTTGCCCTTGCCCCTTGCTCTCTTGTCAAAGGATTTGACTGACAGCAGTGGGAGTCAATGGCTCCCGCTGCCTCAACAAAGCCTGTGGGAGCAGGGAGAGCCACTAGATGGGGCACAGTACTGAATACCTAAAATTTGTGGTAAAATACCCGATAGTGTTTTTCAAAAAATATTTTTGAAATTCACAAAAAAAGCTACTAAAATAAGGAAAGTGGTATTTCATCGAAATATGCAGTATTTATTTCATGAAACCATGTGGTATTTTATCTCATTTGATATCCAGTGGTATGTATACAGTGGAGAAGAATTAGAACCTCTGTCAATTTTTATTTCTAATAAAGAGTTAAAATTAAATAAACCATAGAAAACTGCCCTGCATACAAGTGCATCTCAATAACTTAGAATATCATTACAAAGTTAATTTATTTCAGTAATTCAATTTAAAAAGTGAAACTCATATTTAATAGATTCACTCACTACACACAGAGTGATATATTTCAAACATTTATATTTCCTTTAATTTTGAGGATTATGGCTTACAGCTAGTGAAAACCCAAAATTCAGTATCTCAAAAAACTAGAATATTGTGGAAAAGTTCCATAATGTAGACTCATGGTGTACCACTCTAATCAGCAAATTAACTCAAAACACCTGTAAAGGTTTCTTGAGCCTTTAAATGGTCTCTCGGTCTGTTCAGTAGGTTACACAATCATGGGGAAGACTGCTGACAGTTGTCCAGAAGACAGCCATTGACGCCCTCTACAAGGAGGATAAGTCACAGAAGGTCACTGCTAAAGAAGCTGGCTGTTTACAGACTGATATATCCAAGCATATTAATGGAAAGTTGTGTACAAGGAAAAAAAAAAAGTGGTAGAAAAAGGTGCACATGCAAAAGCCTTGAGAGGATTGTGAAGCAAAGGTCAGTCAAGAATTCGGGGGAGATTCACAAGGAGTAGACTATGGCTGGTGTCAGTGTTTCCAGTGCCACCACACACAGACGTATCCAGGACATGGGCTACAACTGTCACATTACTTGTGTCAAGTCACCCCTGAACAAGAGACAACTTCAGAAGCGTCTTACCTGAGCTAAGGATAAAAAAGGACTGGACTGTTGCTCAGTGGTACAAAGTCCTCTTTTCAGATGAAAGTAAATTTTGCATTTAATTTGTAAGTCAAGGTCCCAGATTCTGGAGGAAGAGTGGAGAGGCACAGAATCAAAGTTATATGAGGTCCAGTGTGCGGTTCCACAGTCAGTGATGATTTGCGGAGCCATGTAATCTGCTGGTATTGGTCCACTGTGTTTTATCAAGTCTAAAGTGAGTGCAGCCTTTTACCAAGGAATTCTAGAGCAGTCATGCTTCCCTCTGCTGACCAGCTTTATGGAGATGCTGATTTCATTTTCCAGCAGGACTTGGCACTTGGCCACACTGCCAAAAGTACCAATACCTGGTTTAATGATTAGCGTATCACTGTGTTTGATTGGCCAGCAAACTCACCTGATCTAATCCCCATAGAGAATCTGTGGGGTATTGTCAAAAGGAAGATGAGAGACAGCAGACCCAACAATGCAGACGAGCTGAAGGCCGCTATTAAAGCAACCTGGGCTACAATAACACCTCAGCAGTGCCACAGGCCGATCGCCTCCATACCACACCACATTACATATAGTTACATAGTTAGTCTGGCTGACAAAAAGACAAAAGTCCATCCAGTTCAACAATAAAAAAAGTTATAATTCTACACCCACAGTTGTTCCAGAGGAAGGCAAAAAACCCAGCAAAGCATGATCCAATTTGCTTCTACAGGGGAAAAAATTCCTTCCTGATTCTCCGAGAGGCATCCAAGAAAGAATCCAGATCTTTTTTAAAGCAATTCACTGAGCTGGCCAGAACCAACTCTTGAGGGAGTCTATTGCACAGTTCTTACTATGAAGAAACCTTTCCGTGTTTGGAGATTCACTATATGAACCACTGTTGCATTTATACATGTTGATCATATCCCCCCTTAATCTCCTCTTCTCAAGAGAGAATAAATTCAGTTCCTCTAATATTTCCTCATAGCTCAGCTCCTCCATGCCTCTTATCAGTTTGGTTGCATTCTCTGTACTTTCTCCAGTTCCCCAATGTTCTTTTTGTGAATTGGTGCCCAAAATTGAAACGCATATTCCAGATGAGGTCTAATGATTTGTACAGGGGTAAAAGGATATCTCTCTCTCTGGAGTCCATACCTCTTTAAATACAAGAGAGGATTTTGCTCACTTTAGAACCCGCAGCTTGGCATTGCATGCAATTATTAAGCTTGTGATCTACCAGAACTCCCAGATCCTTCTCCACCATTGATTCCCCCAGTTGTACTCCCCCCTAGTATGTATGTATGTATGTATGTATGATGCATAGTCTTAGCCCCCCCAAGTGCATAACCTTACATTTATCAACATTAAATCTCATTTGCTACATAGTTGCCCAATTAAACAGTACATTGAGGTCGGCTTGTAATTTGAAGACATCCTGTAAGGACGTTATTCCACTGCACAGCTTGGTGTCATCTGCAAAGACTGAAATGGGATTTTGAATCATAGACTGTCACGTACCTGATGGGAGACTGAAACACACGGGAACAAGCAGGACACGGGGGAGCTGAAGACCAGTCAGCACCTAACATGGGTAGAGACACTCTTTAAATAGCCCGTCTGGCGCCAATCTTCGCCTTGCGTGTGCACGTGCGTGAACGAACGTGCGCGTGATCGCGCATTTCTGCGCGCATGTGCACAACCGACAACTCTTCTCTGGGAGTTCCTATGCGCATTTCTATTCGCGATTCGTCTTGCCGGAAACCCCTTACATTGCCCCCCCCCTTAGGGGCAGCATCCAGATGCCCACTAGGGCTCGTTTTTCAGGGTGAAGATGGAGGTAGGCTTGAACTAACCGTGGGGCATGGACATTAGTGGATGGCTCCCGGGAATTATCCTCTGGACCATAGCCTTTCCATTTAATGAAAAACTGGGTCTGTGCGCCTCTCTTTCTACAATCCAGGATAGCCTCTACCTCTTATTCTTCATTTCCCTGAACCAGTAATGGACCAGGAGTCTCCGGATCTCGACTGGGAAATCCACTTGGAATATGTGGATTAGCAGGGAGCAATGGAACACCGGATGAATCTTCATATTTGCAGGTAGCTTTAACTCGAAAGCTACAGGGTTAACTTTTCTCTTAATAGTAAATGGTCCCAGGTACCTTGGACCAAGCTTTCTCGAAGGACAATTCAACTTTAGATTAACCATGGATAACCAGACTTTATCTCCTTGTTTCAGATTTAAGTTGCCCCTTCTCCTTCTGTCGAAAATTTTTTTGTTACTCGCTTGAGCTTCTGAAATGGTTTTTTGCAATATTCGACCGTTCCTACTGAGGAAATCCATCCTTTCTTGTACTGCCGGGACAGCGGGTTCCACTGGTATTTCCGGAAGGAAGGAGGGGTGATATCCATAGTTGGAGTAAAAAGGGGACTGTTTGGTAGCAGAGTGAATGGAGTTATTGTATGCGAACTCTGCTAACGGAAGGAGAGATACCCAGTCATCTTGTGAATAATATGAGAAGCATCGGAGATAGTGTTCCAGAGTTTGGTTTGTCCTCT